CGGCTTCTCTTTGTGAACCGGAAGAGTCAGTTTCCTTGTTTTCAGGTTTAGACAACTTAGAGTTTTCTGTAAACGTGCTTCGTGATCGGACCCCAGGTTAAAAAAAAAGAAAAAAAGAAGGGCTGAGGTCTGTCTTGATTAACTATGGATGAGAAGTGGAACATAAATCCTTTATTTAAAAAAAAAAACACCCCGAGTCAAACTAGATCAGTGAGATATGACTGAGAGGGACAAATAAGAAACCGATAATTTACATTGTCTGTCAGCTTGTAGCTTTAAAAAAATAGCTTTTAATGTTTTTTTTGTTTATCCAACAATTTAAAAAAAGGTTATATTGGAGGATTTTCATGGCTCATCATAAAAACGTTCAGAAGTTTGTACAGGATTCTGTTTTGGGCTTTTTTTGGCAGTTTCTCTAAAGCTTTTATAATGTTTACACTGGTATTAGAGTTATATCCTATTGACTGGTTTGTTTAACATGAAATTTATGTTTGTTTTTCCACATTCAGAAATGAAGTCCAGTCTATGTTGGAGAAATTTGGCGGTAAGAGGATGTTTTTCTTGGTAAATCTTTGCTTAGACTGAATAATAAATGAATTCAGCCAAATTATATTGATGATATGTCACGGGGAAATGTTTATGATGAACATCTGTACAGTTAAATAACAGTGTGTAATCCACAGATCCAGAAAAAGGAATTCATTTTTGTCAATTTGATTTATGTCTGAGTTATGAATTTGTAGAGATAATCATAAACATACAGGAATTCATTCTCATTTTAAATCCTTCTAAAAATGGATTTAAAACATGTTTGCCTCACAAGACTTTCCCTTAAATTAGGGTCCTGTAATCTTACATCAACGTATTATAAATATAATCATAGCGGCTTATTACAAGTTAGAAAAGCAGAGGAAACATGAAAACATTTCCTTTGCTCAACCAGCTTTTATTCCACATCAGTCCCTCTCGGTTTCTACTAACAGTGAATTCAGCTTTTCATTGCTGCATATTTAGCTACGCTATTGTCTAGTTACAGTTGTGCTTGAAAGTTTACAGACTCTTTCATTAAGGACCCATAAAATGAGCTGCCAGTCAAATACAAAAAATGATTAAAGGAAATCATGACATTAATTTTAAACATACATATGTATACTAGGTCTGCAACTAACAATTATTTTGCTAATCGATTAATATGTTGATTATTTATTCGATTAATAACCAGATAGCAAATGTTCCTCAAAGCAGATTTTTTTCAAATTTCTAAACATCCGCTCTAACCCTTAAATCCCTCAATCGCTATATACAGCGGGGACTAATAATCATAATAATAGTAATACTTTGGACTTGTAATGCATAGGGACGGAACGGTTGATGAAAACCGTCAGAACCGTTCGGTTCGACTGTCTTGGTTCGCTTTGCGTGTGTTTTGTTCGGTTCATGCGCTGCTCCTTTTTCTCATAGGCGAAGCGTTTACACTCCAGAGCAGA